CACGAGAGAGGGCTCAGTTCAACAAACTGGTTCGTGCTCCCAACCAGAAGATTAGAGAATTTATTCTTCAGCTTCAAATACAAGCTTCAAAGTGTAACTTTGGAGATCAGCTGCACACTCAACTATGTGATCGTCAAATTGCTGGAATCAATATTCCTAAGCTAGAGAAAGGGTTGATTCAGACTCCTTCTTGTACCTTTCAAACTGCTAAAGATTTATGTATGACATATGAAGATGTCAACAGTGAATACTCTGCTCCCACTACGTCAGTATCTGATGTCATGCTTTCTAAAGTCGGAAATACAAGTGTTCATGGAAAGCAATCCAAACTGTCGTCCACATGTAATAGAATGCAGCGAGAGATCAAAAATATTAAACCGTGTTTTTCCTGTGGAAAGATTCATCTACGAAGCACTTTCCGTTTTCGGGGTGCTAAGTGTCATAAATGTGTTAAAGTTGGACACAGCAAGACTGTTTGCAGAAGTTCGAATACTTAGGTTACTCACAATTCTTATGATTCTCCCAATCTGTCTAGTAAAATGGAGTCAATGTGTCTCTGAACCTTTCAAAATACTCAATCTCATCCAATGAAAACCTTCACTACAAGTTCAGCAACTCAAGCGTCAACTGTATCATGTGTTTTCAAAAATGAGGTAGCCGAGTTACAATGTGAACTGTCGAAAACACGAAAAGAAATGAGTGAAATGGAAGCTGGCTGGTTGTCCATTCGTCAACTGCTCACTGAGATGAGAGAGTAATTGATTAAATTGGAGGAATTTCTGCATATGCATAGATTGCATCTGTTGAATGCAGAGCATACAAGCACCCGTGAAAGTCCTGCAAAACTATTCAAATTTCGAATTCTCAGAAAGCATCTAATGTCCACGACTTCTAATGTAAATTAATACAGAGGGAATGATTATAGACCTTCTGTTGGAATCATACTACAAAGAATGGGAAATCGAATGGTGAAGATATTAGACATCAGAGATCACTCAGTTCATAACAGACACTTGGACAAAGTGAAAATAAATGAAGTAGGTCGTTCCGATTATAATTTTAATGATTCCGCTACAAATCCTGATTTTGTAGATAATTCAGGAATAAGTCCAGATGATACTGACAAAATAATATCACAGAATCAGTTAGAAAGAAGGTCGCAGCTACTTTCAAGCAAACCGAGACATCATTATAAATACGCAAGGGGATATTCGACTTGTGGCGGATGTGGTGACTGACAATTTCTATCTCTGTATTGTTTAAATACTTACTGTTGCTTTTTAATATACATTTCTGATATGAATTGAATAATAATTCCGCCAAATACAAATTCCTGAATTCCACGCCCTCTTTGTGTTTTGGTTGAATTCTTGTAATTTGGTCATTGCGAATTACTAATACTACTAGTACAAATAATTACAACACAACGTTTTCCACATGAATTTGCACAGTCAGTAAATCTTGTTCATCGGTTTATAAGTATTTGCGCAGTGATGTTCATTTCACCTCATCACTTCGATTAATTTAGCATGTTCACTTTTGTACCTGTAACTAATCACCAACCAAGGGATCGTTGAAAAGAAAAGAATCAAAAAACAAGTGTAGTTCAGCGAAGAGGTTGTGTTTTCGGTGAATTCATCTTCCTCTCTAGCTGGACCATAGAATTTATTAGAACAAGACGTATAATAAGCGAACAATATTGCTGTTTTCAATTAGATCTACTTCTTCAGGATTTACTCTAATTTACATAGCTCTTTATATATAAAAAATTTTGATGACTTAATTTTGTTTCTTTGCCTGTTCTTTAATTGCTTATAATTCTTGTATTCACTTAGATCTCTTACATAATTTCGTATTATCTACTTTGTTGTTTCTATGTGCATCCTGAGTAAAACTCACTCATCAAAGTATTATTATTACATAACTTCTTTTAACAACTGTTTGTGACAACTCATCGCCTTTGTTACTACCCTAGTTTCATTAACACTTAATGTTTTTTTCACCTGTATAAAAATTTTGACTAATGACGGCAATTTTGGGAATCAAATTATTATAATAATTTACTAAATGTTTTGAACGTCAGAAATAATAATGATGATTGTAGTGATAAGAATAACGAAGGTGGTAATATGGACGTGCATATGTAGACAATTCAATAAAATAAGTTAAATTACATCAAATCTTAAATGTTATGTAATACCAAAAAGGTGGGTGAAGTCGACAGATAATCACAGTTTAAATAAATATCATAAAAATACGCGGGAAATGAAAAATTAAAAAAAGGTGGGAGGCAAGGGACAAACAGAGTTACAAGAAACTTCTTTTGTAGTATACAAAGACACTAAGATTGTTCTCCCAACGTAATTCCCATAGCTTCGGCTATGTGTTTAGCAGGCGGGTTTGAATTCCATATGAAAGGCTCGATCGAATGCGATAGATGAGGCACTTTGAAGGCACTTCTTCTTCTGTCCACTTGGTGACCTCTATCATCAATCGAATGAGACAAAATAGAACTTCTTATAGTTTTTATTTGGCCTTTACCGAACTATGAAGGAAGATTTAACTTTCTAAATATAAACCTATGTAAATTAGAGTAAAGTCCGAAGAAGATCTAATTGATTTGTCAGAGGTTAATTACTTCATTTATCCGGACAGAAAGCATGGTTTCAACCATAGGTCAGAAGAATGGATTTAGATGTTAAAATCAGTCAGAATCAGAAAGTCAAGATACGTCTTCATTAACATGAAACCAGTTTGAAAATCTTCTGCACACCGTAGAATGAAGAACACGATTCGAATTCTGGAGTCAGACAGTTCCGCTACATGAGTTAGAAACATGCATTGGACATCACAGTAAGCTTCTGCAGACTTTTCTCAACACCTGCTCCCTTCGAATACTGGCTCCATACTTAAGATCAAATGGCCAGCTGGCCGGCCAGAAAGAATTAGCAATACGAAAAGCTGGCTGGTTGGCTGGCTGGCTGGCGACGAACCAACCAAAAGCCTATCGGTCAACAAATATATTGAGGAAAATCTAGATGGATGTGGCATACGCCATTGGGGAGGCTATCGAATGATATCGATCACAATGCAGGCCACTGATCGAGTGGAATCCCATTGAGAAGCGACAACTGAGTCGTCTGTACGAGAGTGATATGTAGAAGATCATGTGGAGAGGCGGAGGAGGAGGAGGAGGAGATGACAGACTATGGGCAATCGTGGAGCCAGCTAACTAGGGCAGCACCAAATAGAACTAAGTGGAAATGTTTGGATTGAATTTTTGATTTTCCCGTCGATTGATTGGACCGAAGTGCTCGGTCTCAGGCTGACATGTCGGCTTCTTGTTCAGATGCTTCGACGATGTCTGGGCATTTAATTAGTCTGTCTGTCTGTTTTCGACATAGAACTTTGCACAAATGTGCGGAAGTTCAAGTCGCCACACTCCGTGTAGCACGCGAAGCAAGCAAGAGAAGAAAGTACAAGAAAAACATAATAAAAACAGTGAGCAGAGGGGTGAGACAAAGGAGGAGTAATAACGAAGAACAAAACAGTTTCATTGGAGATCACAAGTCACAAGGAGTGGATGCATCTGCGCTAGCCACTGAGAACGATTTTGAGCCATGTCATCAATTGTTTCCAGCGTTCATCAGTTTCTACCATCCTGAGGACCCCAACCAGTCAGGATGTCTACACCTTCCTACGTGGCTTAGACCAACTGTTGTGGATTTCATTGACTGGTGCAGCCAAGTTTTTGTTTGACCGCCGCTAGCTTTTTTCCAGCCTGACCCTATATCCGCTAACATTGCCCATTGTCGAGGAAGGCGATGACTAGGCATGGATAGGTAACACATGTCCTAACCATCTCAGTCTTTGTAACTTCACGACTTCGTCGATTGATTTCCCCTGTTTACCTTGCACTCGACGCCTAACCTCAATGTTGCTCACCTTATTATGCCACTTTACACGGGAAATAGAGCGCAGGCACCTATGATCATTTAATTATTATACAACTGGTGGCTAGCAGTGGAATCCAGGATCCGCATTTCGTCCTATTTGGGATTAGTCAGCTGGATGTACCTGCATTTCTCAGTGAGTGATGATGTTCCCAACGAGGCTGGAACCCAGTGCCCATGATTTCAAACGCCAAAGCGGTCTACTGGCCCAAGTGGTCTAGTGGATAACGCTTTGGCGTTTGAAACTATGGGCACTGGGTTCCAGCCTCGTTGGGAACATCATCACTCACTGAGAAATGCAGGCACATCCAGCTGACTAGTCCTAAATAGGACGAAATGCGCATCCTGGATTCCACTGCTAGCCACCATCCACCAGTTGTATACTAAGTGGAAATTTTTTGTTGAAACCCGATATTCCACTGGAAACCGAAAGGAATAATAAAATAATATAATGGTGTCATTAGCGTGTACATTTTCGAAAATGTTTTCTAAACACGCGGGAAATAATTTTAAACAAAATAAAACAAAATTCAAAGTACAATATACATATGTGTGTAAACAAAAGTAGAGTATGTTATGCAATGTTAATAGTATCGACCATACAGTGCATAATTGAATAGCACAATGAAGGAAGTTTGTATGCTATACAAATTTTTCCATTCTATTTCTCAAAATTGGAGAATAAAATGTTGATTATTTGGAAAAAACGTTGTTGTTTTTTTTAATCCAAGTGCATTCATCATCCAGTCGAAACTGCACTCTTTCTGTTCATCGATTACCCCACATTACTCCCTTTCTCTCTCGCTCTCTCTCTCGCATGCTAGCCTACTCATATTAGAATTTTGTTGACATGACAAGCACACAGCCATCTGCACACACACAAACACACAAATACACAACACACAAGATAGGGATTATTGCCAAAATTTTTATAAATAAGACCCACTTAAAGGCAGACAACCCTTTCTAAATTCTTACAGTCCACATAATCAATCATCCCATTAGAATTGGAATTAGAGAAAATCAAAAATAAAGAAAACCTTTCAAATGTCTAAACTACCTAAACTATCATTGAAAATAATCCTCTTGCTGTTCTCCTGTCAAGTATACCTTGTGCATTGTATAATTCCAGAACAATGTGGTGCTAATTTAACTCTTGGTATACCAGTCTGTTGCCCAGTTAGTCATGATACAAATGAAGTTTGTGGTGGACCTAAACGTGGTGAATGCATTAAAGCCTGGACACCGAAAGAATCTGTACCCAGTGTATTTCTTATTGATGATCGAATTGACTGGCCAAATCGATATTTCACTTACTTTTGTCAATGTAAAGATAATTATTTCGGTGTTGCATGTGATGAATGTTGGTTCGGTTGGATTGGTAAACATTGTAACCAACGGCATCGTAAAATACGACGTGATATACGTACATTTTCTGAAAAAGACTTGAATATATTTAAATCATTAGTCTTGCATAGTCAAACATGGCCATCTGGTTACTTATTGGTTGATGAATCGGACAATTGGAATGTTGATCCATTAAGAAAACCGAAATTGTTTCATGCAAGTATACAACACTTCTTGACTTACCTGCATCAATATGGTAGTCGTAGTACATTGTATAAAAATGTTAAAGATTGTGAAGAATACGGGATATTGAATTTTAATCATGATGGTGTCGTTTTTCCAACATGGCATAGATACTCCTTATTACTATGGGAAAGATTATATGCAAGAATGGCTAAAGTGTTATTCGGACTGGAGGATTATGCAGCACCTTATTGGGATTGGATTGGTAAAGACCATTGTGATATTTGTATTGATAAGTATATCGGTGGTCCAGGTCATCGTGATGAATTTGGGCTACATTTGTCACCGTATTCACCATTTCATAATCTTACAGAATTCTGTTATGAACCGTATAAGGATAAATTATGCGCTGGTTGTCAGTACACAGATGAACCGCCGACAATTACACGTCACTTTACTGTCACTGAATTTCCAGATCGAAGAGATTTAGAATTTGTTTTAGGCAAAAAACAGTAAGTAAAATCTTTCGATAGATAATTTATAGATACTTAATTTCTGAGAAAAAATGTTGAATGTTGAACATTTCATGTATACATATATGATTAATATTATCACTATCTGATTTTTCCAAAGAATCCGATACTTAACAAAGAATACTCTTTTCGATAACCCCTTCATCATCAGGCTTCAAAGCTATATATATACAGATGCAGTTCCTTAAGGACAACACCAGCGAGATGCTAACACAGAGCCTTAAAAATGCGGTAAAAAGAGCATTCCCTGGTGCTGCTGAATTACGCTGTATCTTTAAAACTACTCCTCTTCTGCGTTCGGGAGTAAAAGACAAACTGTCTAATTTCGCCTCTTCCATGTGTGTGTATCTACCAATTTAACTGCTCCTGTGGAGTGAGCCAGTTAGTTGCATAGGCCGTACAATTAGGCGTGCTTCTCGTCGAATTTCCGAAAATCACCCTGCATAGTGGTTAAGCAAAGGACAAACAAAATCTATTCGCGGCACTATTCTATCTCACTCATCTTGTGGATACAGAACACAAGATTGACGTTAACTATGCTTTCAGGGTCATTTACCGCATACCTACGAATCTCGATTTTGCCTTTAGAGTCCGACTACTAAATATTCCTGAGGCTGTGAGGTTCCATATAAACAAGCCTAATTTATGCATCCAAAAGAAGTTAGTTCAGATATTGTTCTTACCTTGGCCACCTAGGTTTGATTGATCCTGAATTTTTGTGGAAGTTTCCTAATTCTAGTTGATATTCTATTCGCTATAATATCTCTATTATTATTATTATTATTATTATTATTATTATTATTATAAATTTATGCATCTTTAATAAACTGTGATGATTCCACTGTGATCTTACTTAACAAATCGATATTATTTAAAAAAATACACTAATATTATTATTGCCTACTATTCTAGAATATTCTATGTATATAAACATGCATAATTAATTGTAGAGCCAGAAGAGGAATTCATCGAAAAGGGGATATTCTTTACTCGATTATTTTGTGTTTAATAGATGTCTGAATGAATATTTTTGTTATAGTGAATGAATGGATTAGTGTTATGGACAACATTAATGTTGCTCTTTAAAAACCGTCGAATCAATCATATCGATAGATTACAGCTCGATAGCATCAACATAAAATAAGCTGATTGTCAGAAAAATTGGGAAAGATAATATTACAAATTCATAAATTTATAGTCTCTAATGAAGGCTACTCAGGGCAGTAGTAGTGGCTAGCTGAACTTGCTTCTTCTCCACACAGAGCACCGGGTTTTTGAGGCGAATCGCAATAGCCTCTGCTGTTTGGAACATGCGGTGCTTCGATGATTTCGGAAATTTATTAGGCACCCGGTAGATGTTGATAGAGAAGGATTGTTCAATGCTGGCTGGCTTTGTGGCCGGTTTGCACCAAATGCTCCAATATCGAACTGTTGGTGATGGTTTTAACTACACCTTTACTAACCCATAGTGGGAGATGTTCTCGAGCACAAAAAATCAAATTCCAATAACTCGCTTTACAAGCGCAGTTGAATTGATAGATACAATTGGAAGTTTTCAAGTGTTGGTTTTTGTAGGGATTTTGTTTGATTGTATGGAGGATTTAATCATGAGCTGACATCAGTTAGAGAACCACTGGAAAACCAATTTGGAGTACTGGACAGCTGTTTCGTCCTAGTTTAGGACTCCTCATCAGTACGCACCCACCGGGATTCGAACCCAGGACCTTCTGGTTACAAGGCGAGCTCGTAGACCATTGAGCCACTGGGACCCGATCTAATGGTCCTTTGATTCTAACTTCTGCCAGTTCACGACATAGCGCGACCACTTCGCAATGTCTTCTTTGATGAGTTACTGCCTCATCTTCGACCTGCAAACAAAATCCCTACAAAAAACCAATACTTGAAATTTCATCTGATGCTCACTAGTGACTGGCCCTATTCAGGCAGTTAACCTGGGGTTCTAGTGTGAAGCCGTGACCAGTAGGGTACAGCAGGTCGAAGATGAGGCAGTAACTCATCAAAGAAGACATTGCGAAGTGGTCGCGCTATGTCGTGAACTGGCAGAAGTTAGAATCAAAGGACCATTAGATCGGGTCCCAGTGGCTCAATGGTCTACGAGCTCGCCTTGTAACCAGAAGGTCCTGGGTTCGAATCCCGGTGGGTGCGTACTGATGAGGAGTCCTAAACTAGGACGAAACAGCTGTCCAGTACTCCAAATTGGTTTTCCAGTGGTTCTCTAACTGATGTCAGCTCATGATTAAATCCTCCATGCAAACAGTTGAAAGTGGCCAGCTAGTCTAGGTACTTCATCTTTCAGTTGAGGTAGCACCATCGGTCCTGTAGAGAATAATACGTGTAGTTTGCCAGCATTAAAAGTTCTTTGAACTGATTTTCCTAATTTCTTCGTAATCATCTCACTTGGTATATCGTTCTTGAATTGCAGTCGTATATAAAGTGACTTCTTGTTTAAAGATAGTGAGTAGTCCTTTACCGCCGTGTTCTTTGTCATGTGTTTCTCGATAAATTTGTTGGAATAACTATTTTCGATCAAATTATCATATACAATGCTTAATTCATCTTCAATTACTCCTTCTGAGCATATAGCTCTAACTTTGTGGCCAAGTGAGGGTCTTTATTAAATTTCTTTTGTACTTGATAAGAACGAAGCTGTGAAAATGTCCTGTGTATATTGTCCTGTCCGAGTACTTTTTCTATGCAAATTTCTTTTTATGCTACAATCTGGTTTTCTTGTAAGGTGGACATCCAGGAAGGCAATTCTGTGTTTTGGGATTCCCCTTCGCATGTAAATTTCATAGGAGAGAATTTACTTCATTGAACTCAGTAATTATTGTACTTTTATCAGAACTATTACCACAAAAAAGAATGAAGGTATCATCCACATATATCGGCAATAAAATGACAGCTTACTGATAAGGTGGTTGTTCAAAAGTTCATTTTCTAGTTTACTTAGAAAGAAATCAGCCAGAATGAGACCCAATTTTTGAATTCAATTCTGATTCTCCCATTGACTGATTGATTGAAGAGAAATGTTCAGCCTATGTTGAAATGGCGGCTCCTTGTGTGTGTGTGTGTATGTGTGAAAGGGGGGGTGAGGTAACTTCGACGATGTCTGAAGAGTTAACCTGAAGTAATTTGGTCAATGTTGATTGGTGGCAGTGGAATCCAGGATGCGTATTTTGTCTTAATAGAAACGATGATCACTGGGTTTAAGCTTCAGTGGAAACACCAACAGTCACTGGAGAATCCACGTAACAAGTCAAAAATGGGATGAAATGTGCATTATCGATTCCACTGGTAGTTATCATCCACTAAATAATCTCATTACATATTTTCAAACTTTTGTTATTCTTATCATTATTATTATTATTACTCCCTTGAGTTTCGAGTGGAACGTAGGGATTTAACAACATATTTCAATTTTGTTCTATTCTCTGATGTCCTCTTCAGCTGGGTCATTGATTGTCCATAATCTCTTATCTCCTCCTCCTCCTCCTTGACACACGATCTCCTCCATGTCATCCTCGCACCGACGAACCACTCGTTGCTTCCAATTGCGATTCCACTCGAGTGACGGCCTGCAGTGTGCGCCATATCATTCGGAGGACTCTTCAGAGGATACCCCATCCATCTTCATTTTTCTCCTACATATTTTTTGAACAACCAGTTCTTGGTTGGTTCGTCGACAGCTAGCCAGCGTTTCTTGTCGTTAATTCCATTTGATCTTCAGTATAGAGTCAGCCAGCCAGCCAACCAGCGAAGGAAGCAGGTGTTGATAAACGTCTGCAGTACCCTGTTGGAAATACTCTTCGTGACGTGTGCTCAGTGGAAGTTTCTGACCTGCATAGAAGAACTGACTAACTGACTGACTGACTTGACATTTCTGTTGAACAGAATCTGAATCTTGTTATTTACGCTGGTTGAGTGAGTGTAGGAGATTTTCAAACTGGTTTCAGGTTGATGAATGCGTATCTTGCTTGTCTTTCGGATTCCAGATCCTCTAGAGTCGTATTAGTCCAGTCGACCAAAATAAGGTATATCATTGGTGATAATGAGCAGTCTTTTCATACTCGTGTCTTCACTTCAAAATCTCCACCGAAATTTCTGTTGTGGATCTCCTGAAACATGGCACTGTCATATAGCCAGCTGTTGAATGAGGTTCATAAAGGTTTGGGGCAATGCACTTCACAGTGCTGAAGTAGATTCCAAATTGTTTCTCTGTCAAAGCTTCTCTGTAAAACGCCTTTTCAAAGTCGATCAAGTTAAGGTAAACGTTTGATAGCCATTCTATGCTTTGTTCCATGATGATGATGATTAGAGTTGCAATTTGATTAGCACATGGGTCCGCATTCTTATTTTCACCTTCATCGAAAGAAGACGAATCAGCCGATTGACTTGCTTCCCGAATGGTTTAGGCAGTCCATGTCATTTCACCTCTCCGATTCTAGTGAAGGATAAGTTAGTTCTTTATATTTTTTGTATTTTTTAATATTTTTCTTGTACATTGAAGTTTCTGTAGCAATATGATTGGTTTTCTGAGGTAGCTTCGCTAGCCCCACGCCAAACTACCCGTCTTTTCGGGGCTTGGGACAGGCTAAGAAACTAGCGAGATAATCAATTAGGCAAGGTCTCCAACTTTTACAACCTTATCCTATTATGAGTGACTATGGGGCCTTATATTAACTTTGTAGATTATTGATTCAAAGCCAGGATGCTATGCACAGCTATGCACATCTAATCTGCGTTCGACTCCTTGTCAATACACTCCTAAACTTTGTCAACCCAGTAATCAGCTCGTTAAAGAGTAAAGGTTGTGTATGTAATGAGGCGTAGAGTTCCAGGTAAACACGGGAAATCAATCGACGAAGTCGTGAAGTTACAAAGACTGAGATGGTTAGGACATGTGTTACGCATGTATGCCTAGTCATCGCCTTCCTCAACGAGCAATATTAGCGGATATA